CTATCTATCTATCTATCTATCTATCTATCTATCTATCTATCTATCTATCTATCTATCTATCTATCTATCTATCTATCTATCTATCTATCTATCTAGCCTTCTTCCCAAGCGTCGAGCGGCTGTCCAATCCAATGTCGCGCCATTTTACTGGCATTGATGTACCGATCGGCTCAATGAAAGGCTTGCGTCTATGCCGATGCGTTATTGATTTGCCAAACAACATTGTCATCGCTCAAGAACGATGCACCTCCACGACCATCTGCATGCTCATCATGCAATGTAGGCGGTCTAATGGTCATACCGCCGCCGTTCCGCAAGCCGCCAGCGGAACGAGAGAAACCGAGTGTGCAGGTTCGTTCATGTAGACAGTAGACGAGTGCGACGTGTAAACTCGACGTCGCGCCGACGGGCATCTGCAATGACGTCGCGCAAGGCAGTCATTTGCAGCGGTGTGGGGCCATTACCACGCATGGCACGAACCAAGTGGCAAAGTCTCTGGTTCGATGACGTGGCAGCACGTCGCACGGCCATAAAGTCCGAGGTGCCCGCCGTGAGCAAGAGCAGCGCGGCAATTGCTACATCGTGTGTGCAACCATTCGTTGCAACGTAGCAAACGGCCGTATGCACGTACACGTGCCACGACGACAATTTGGGTGTTTGGCGCTGCCATAAAAAGAGCGGTAGGCTGGCTTGCAGTTGGCTATGGTGCGAAAGGGCCGTGACGAGCGGCGGGGCGTAGACATACGAGAGGATGCTATCGACGAGTGGCGATGGCAGTAGCACCTCGAGTACGGCATGCACCCCCGGCTTGACAGCGCGGTCCATGCACCATGCATCAATCACGAGCGCGGCCTCCAGCGTTGACATTGCTGTTGTAAGAAAGACAGCGGTGCGAAGCGCCGTTTGCATGAACGACCAGTACCTGTCGAGGACGTCGGGCAGCCATGTCGACGACGCATGGTGACGCACCAACGTAGCCAGGACGCGGACGCGGAATGCAATGTGACAGCGCAGTTGGTGAAGCAACGTCGATGTTTCCATGCGCTGGACCACGTGCGCGGCCATGTCGGCGACAACGCTGGCCGCTGCAGCGTGGCCTTCACTCCACCATGAGCGCGTCAGAAAGCGGCCCATGAGCTCGACATCACCGATTATCCACAGGACCGAGGCAAGTGCACTTTGCATAAGGGGGTTGGGTGCCGGAGACGACACCGAAGACGGGACCATGTTGGCGGCCAATGGAAGCGCCATCGTTGCGAGCTCTATCAAGGAGCCATAGCCGAGGTGCTCGACGAGATCGCCTGCTGCATTGGCCCGCAGTAGCGCCAGTGTCGAATCGAAACCAAGGACGTGTACCCGCCGAGAGTGTGGCCAACACACGAAGTAGCAGTGGCCGTGTGGCGTTTCCCGAGGTGCGTCTCGAAAAACGACGCCGTTGACTGCGCGGCAGGCATCCAGTAAGACCGAAGTGGTCTCGCACGCCGGGTGGAACGCTGCGTGAAGCGCGCCATTGGCCTCGTGTCGTCGAGACGCTGCGTGCTTCCGGACAAGCGCAACGTCCAAGCCGCCAGAGAACGCGAGCCAATCCGCAATGGTCTTGTCTCGTCCCACAAGAGCGCTAAAGACGGGCTCTGTCTGCGCTGCCTGCAGCTGAATGGAAAATGCAATGTCCGACTCGGACAGTTGTGCGACGGCACGACGGAGGTCGTCGATCGAAGGCATTGGCGGCGGCGCCCACCGAAATCGTAGCGTGGGTCTTCCTTCTGTGTACATGAGGTGGTACACGGCAACGATGCGGTGGCCGGCGTCGATCGGCGCAACTGACACAGTCGCTGTATTGTAGAGCGCCATGTAGTCGCCATTCGAGGGTGCAGCGACGATCAACTGGTCACTGCCATATGAAATGGTTATCGCGCCACCGGTGCAGTCAGACGGGAAAAAATAGACGAGTGTTCCAAAGGTATTGGGCGGTGGAGATGACGGCACGATTGCTGATGAATTGCCAACGATATCGATCGCGAGATGGACCAACTCGTAGGTACAGGCGTGTGGCTGCGGCTGCAGTGGTGCTAGGATTTCGCGCAAAATGGAATCGTCGAGGGGGGCATCACGAAAGTCCACAATGTTTGATGGCAGCAGTACGGGTGTACCTGGGTACAGCGCCGTGAGTGATTGCACTTGGTCACGTGGCATGGGCCACACAATGTCGTGGCCGGCAATGGTCACCCGAACGTCGAGCGGTGTTGCATTGCGGCGGCGCGGGTTGGCCCGTGGGTTGTACCAATGACAGTGGGCGACCGTGGCCGTCCGCAGCAGTTGTCGCAAGTCTACATCGCGCCGCTCGGTGCTTTGGACGGTCCTGGCCATGATAAATCGAATCTGAAAATATGTGAAACTGTCACGTAACGCCTTTGCACCGCCTTTCCCGTGACGTGGCGCGCTCTGGTGCGTGAATAGGATCCATGCATCACACTTTCTTGTGCAACATGAAAGAAGGGATCCATGGTACCTTTCGCAACAGTATACTGCCGCAGGCAATGATCAGCGATATATGTCAACGAGTATACATAAAGCTTAGTTAGTGTTGAACACCCCTAAAGGGCCTTTGGTGTATACAGGAGCGTTTCGTTCAAATCCTCGAGCGCGTCACGTACTGCATCGATGCGGTTCTTGGACGCTACGTAGTCGAGCACGAACGGAAATTGCATCCGTGATCCGGTCTCTGGCTTCATGTCGTGCGAAATGACAGGGGCGCCACGTCGCGTCGGATACCGGCCAATGTGCCCAGCGCGCACGTACTTGAGAAAGTACTCGCACGCGTGCCCGAACGTCGAGCCCCTCGTCGGGTGCCAAAGTCGATTGCTCGTCGATTTATCCATGAAGCAAAGAAATGTGCCACATGTATAGCATCGGCACCACCACGCGAGTTGTGGCAGTGGCGGCCCGCGCAAGGCGGCTTTGACGTACGCCCTTAGCTCTCGAAAGCAGCGCGTGGCCACGTCGACAGCAAGCGCATGGCAGCCCATTTCGACGCACGCGTCATGAAGAGGCATGAGCATGTCCATGATGTACGTGATCGGCGACGCGTGTTTGGCTTGCTGTGCGTACACGCGCTGAAGCACGGTCTCGAGCGCCGCAAAGTCCTTCAAGTAGTAGCAGATGCGCAGAGCACTGGTCGCGAGGATCGCGCGATCGCACAAGCTCGTCTCGTCCGAGAGCGCAGTCAGCGGCAAGCTCCGCGGTAGGCTGTCCAGGGCGACGGCCAGTACGTGCGACGCTTGGTCCACCGTCACGGTCAAATTAGGCGACGAGAGCGCAGTTGCCCAATGACGCGTCTCAAACGATGCTGCGTTCCGCTCAAACAGCCAATCAAACGGTGGCGTCCCGGCGGTGAGCGCCATGAGCGCCGCGTCGTCGTCGGCGGTGCAGCCGATCGGCGGTGCGCGATACACATCGACGGCCAAGTCGATGTACGGCTGCAGCGAAAAGGACAACGACGTGTTGCGCAATGCATAGAGCGCCACTGGGAGGGCCTTCGACAAGCTTGGATTGCCCGCCACAATGCTCAGAAACGGTGTTGCGACATGCACAAAACTGTCGACGATCGCCAGCACCGGTGCGGGCAACCGTGAGGCGAGGACGCGGCCGATCGTGGGGTCGCCGCCTTGCTCGTCGATGCACGAGAGTAGGGGCAGCGCATGGACAAGGTACTCGGTCGCATGGTCCATCGTAGCCGTGCCACAGCGCGCGAGCAGCCGATGCAGCCCGTCGTGGAGGAGCTCGACGCCGTGTGGCCACGCGGTACGAAGCTCTGTGTTCCAGAGAAACGTCGCTAGCAAGCGCACGTACATTGCATCGTCACCGATGCGCGTGGCACCGGCGTCGATCTGGCACAAGACGTGAGCCGCGACCGCGCCAAAGTCGAGTTCGTCGACGACGTCGGCAAACCAATAGCTCACGTCGTCCGGGCTGGGCCAAAACAGCTCGGCGGTTAGGGTCGTGAGAAAGGACATCGTGAGCTCATTGTCGCGAAGATGGTGCAGAAGCACCAAACCCGTACGGTACCACAACGTGTTTGTGACGGACAGTCGGTACATGAAGCGCTTGGACGTGCCGTTGGTTGGTGGCGCGACAGCGCGGCGCCAAAGCAGAACGACCGCGGCCGCGACGGCTCGAAGCGATGGCAGACCAAGCAAGTCGGTGCTTGTTCCCGCGGTGTAGGCAGCCATCAAATCAAGTGTACGGTCGAGACCGACAAAGTACACGCGGTGCGCCTTGGGCCAAACGGCGAGGTACGCGCGTTTGGGCTTGGGGTGCAGTTTGGCCTGGCGCGAAGCATACGACCAACTCGGCTCGACGACTTTCATTGGCTCTGGAATGAACCATCGCATGCCATAGTAGCGACTACAGGCCTTTTGCACCTCCGTCGGGACGTTGCACGCGGGGTGGAACGTGTTGGGCAATCCATCTCCGACGAGTGCAACGTCGACGGCGTCGGTGGCGACGAGATACGCCACGATGGCCTCTTCTCGCTTTGTCAACGACTCGAAGGTCGACGTGTGGCTCGACAAGTACAATGGCATAGCAACGTGGGTCAATATAGCGACATCGGCGGCGGCAGCTCGCATGCTAGCGACTGTCGGTGTCGGCAGTGGTGCCATCGACTTGACGAGGCCCGGGACATCGCATTCATACCTGTACGAAGAGTGGTGCAGACGGTACACAAGCGCAGCGCGGTAGCCCGACACAATGGGCATCACCGAAACGTCGCAGGCCGAGTACAAGCTCACGAGAGAGTCGTCGACCGTCTCATATGTGGTCGATCGATCGTCGTCGCATGTGATGGTGACCGCGCCACCACGCGCGGTAGACGGAAGCATCTGCACCATTGTACCAAACGTGTGATCTTCGGGCTCGACGTCGCGTGTCCAAGCGAGGACAGACCCGCGGCGGTCGATGACGAGATCGCTAAACGACGTACTAAATTTTCCCCACGGATGCAGTGCCGAGAGCTGCTGCGCACGCAGCGCGCCGTCCACGAGCTCGTGTGCACTTGCACCGACAAAGGAAATGTCGGACGACGGAATGCGCATGGGCTCGGCCGGGTACTGCGCCGCGAGCGCCGCCAACTGCGTCTCGGAGAGTGGAAACGTGAGCTCGCCGTCGATGGCCTTGATGTAAAGACGCGGTGCGATCGGCAGCGGCGACGAGGACCGCGTGCAGTGTACGGAATTGACGGCGTATGCCAACTCGAGCATTTGTGTCGACATGATCGTTGGGTGGTACGTTGAACAATGGATGCCAGTGTGGGGCATGTAGC